CATTATTGGAATCCTTGTCGTCCTCGTCATCCTGCCTGCCTCCACACACCTTGACCGTGACAGAATAACCGACCCTTTAAGTAAAGTATAGCGGCGTCTTTCCCCTCGTTTTTTTTCCCAAGTTTTTGTCAGTTTTTATTGTTTTTTTTTTATGGATTACCCCGCCTTCGAGATCCTCCTGCTGGAGCAGGGGGAACGCTCTCTTGAGGACCACACAGATGACTTTCTGTCCCTGGCCCACCTCACGCACTACCCGGACAACTGCCTCTGTACCTTCTATCGAGTTGGACTTAACGCCACCACACGAGCTCAGTTGTCCGGGGATGGTCCTCGAGAGAGCTTCGCCACCTTCGTTGAGTGGGTGCTGGCGTCCTGCAAGTCCCAGCTAACCGTGGGCATCGCTGATGACAACACCAGCCCCACTCAGGACCCTGAGCCCAGCCCACCATCTGCGGTCATCCGAAGATGGTCCTCGGGAGGAATTTGCCGCCTTCGTGGAGTGGACTCTGGCGAGAAACGGGTCGCCACTCACCATCGGCCCCGTGGATGATCTCGCCGGATCCACTTCGGACCCAGAGCCCAGCCCACCATCTCCCCGCGGTACGGAGCATCAGCCTGAGCTCACTGATGACGGAGAGCCATTTCCCGCCGCGATCCGTGAGCCAGAGCGAAGCCAAGCGACTGAGCGGAGGATCATCTCAGATGTTGAGCCCAACCCGTCGGACCAGGTGCGAGAGCCGGTGACAGTGCCCACCACGAGGGAGCAAGCCATGGACAGTGTGAGGGCGGAGAGGAGCTCCGGCCCCTGCATCATGGCCGAGGGTGAGCGGACTATGGAGGGAATTCAGGGCCAAAATGAGGAGGAGAGACTGTCGAGCCTAGGAATGGCTCTCGATCCCCTGTCGAGCCTCGGCTCCTCCTGCTCCGGTTCCCTCCTGTCGTCTCCCTGGCTCCTCCCTCCATCGTCACCTCCCTGGACTCTGTTAGCCGTCCTCCTCCTGGAAGGCCGTCCTCCGCCGGAACCTCCACCTGTCTGGTCTGCCTGCCAGCCCTTTGCCTTCCCCTGTCACCATCTCGCATCCTCTGCTTTGTCCTCCTCCTAGTCCCCCTCCGCACCTCCCTCTGTTTCTACGGTGCGAGGACGCACCTTCCGGGAGGGTGGGGTAATGTAACACCCCTGTGGACTGTTTGTTGTGGTTTCTTCCCCTTGTGTTGGTTTAGCCGTCTAATCATTAGTTAATTACCCTCATTGAGTTCACCTGTCTGCCCCTCGTTATCTGCCCTATAAGTTCCTGTCTCTTGTATTCTAGTGTTGTCGGTTATTGTGAATGTTACCCTGAGTGTGTGTGTCTCCTCTACCCGAATCTGCCTTGTTGTCGCTACATTAAATATTCTTATTTGAATCCTTGTCGTCCTCGTCATCCTGCCTGCCTCCACACACCTTGACCGTGACAGCCTAACTGTAACCTTATAATGTAAAAGTGCTCCCTATAGTTTTAAGCATAAGCTGAGGTAGATTTTTATCACTAAGAACATTTAAACTATAACTGAATGTATTTAAAGAAAGAGCAACCTTTTCAGTACTGCCTTATGTTAAACTGCTTTAAATTAGTTTTTTTCCACAACAATCTACACTCCATACACCATAATTGTCAAGCATTTGCATCTTTGCAGGGATGCAACATCTTGAAACATCTTTGCAAATTTATAAAAAATACACACCATCAAAAGAAAAGAGGAAACTGACAGAGATGTTTTCTGTAGATTCAGGAGGAGCTGAGAGAGACTGAAGACTCTGCAGGAATAACAATTAATAAACCAGAAAAATATCTGAAAGACATAGTATAAAGAATGAGAGACATATTTGGTAAAAGTTCACACAGTCTCTTGTTCAAACTTCCAAAACATGACTGCCTAGAAAATAAAAAAATAAATTAAAAACTTTTTATCAGCTAATTCTTCACTAATGCAGTGTTTAGCTGCCCACTTAAAACACATAATTAAATAATGATATGAATAAATATTTACTGTCTCACATTATTGAGAGGAGAAGTTTAACTCTTTGGTGCTCCCTATGTGGCAATGATCAGCATATATTTAATTGAAATGAATGTACTATATTTTAGCTTCATCATGTTTTTTATTGAATATTTTGTATTTTTAGGTTGGGCTAGATTTTAATAAATTATATTTAGGCAGTAATTAGCATAGACCTGAAAATGAAATTTCTTAAACTGTCATCAATCTCAAATGCTTTGGAGCACTTAAGTTTGGTCTCTTTTTAAAGAAGATACTTGGCTGATTATTGCTGAAGTGGAAAAAAAAGTAGAGGATTTTACTGTTAAATTTTTTTTACAAAAATACTACTTTCGGATTTTATGTGAAATACATATTTTCCAAAACATGCTTTACTCTAAAACCGTAAACCAAAGCCATACATCTAAACATAGTTATGTTTCAAATTTGAGGTTGATGTCTTAATAAATGAGCTTCAAATGCTGTTTGGGTGCAGTACCAAATGTTTCCTCAGATGAAATTAGTTTCCCATTTGTTTTTTTTTTTAGTAAGTGTATACTAAGTGTAAGGCTAAGTAATAGTAATTGTGCAGTAAGTGTATAGTAAGTGGCAAAACTTTTATATATGCGTTGTACCATTTCGATGAAGTAAAGAAACATTCTAAAAAATAATAAATAAATAAACTTTTTCTGGCAAAATGTATCAAAGAGCACCAGAGCTCACTAAATGTTTGCAGGACATTAATATCTGGATGACTAATAATTTTTTTAAGTTAAATACCAATAAAATTGAAGCCCTCTTTATGGGTTCTAGGTCTGTTTTATCTAAAACTCAATCCGTTACCTTGGTTATTGATAATTGCCCAGTCAAGTTTTCTACCCAGGAGAAAAGTCTTGGGGTTATACTGGATGGTTTGCGTTTGTTTGGTCCTCATATTAGTAATATTTCACGTTCTGCTTTTTTCCATCCTCGCAACACTGCCAGACTTCGTTCTTCACTTTCCCAACATAGAACTGAAGTGATTATCCATGCATTGGTTACATCTCGGATTGATTATTGTAATGATCTTTTATTTGGTATTCCTGAAAAACAACTTAAAGGGGTCATATGATTATTCACGAACAGCTTGTAACACTCCAAAGAGAAAGGAAAACTTGAAATCGCATCATATGACCCCTTTAATCGATTACAGCTAATCCAGATTTCAGCAGCTAGGATAGTTACCCGCTCACGTACTTTTGATCATATATCTCCAATTCTTTTTCCAGCTGCATTGGCTTCCTGATCATTATCGTGTACATTACAAAATCTTACTTCTTGCATACAAAGCTCTTCACAATTTGGGACCTAATTATCTTTCTGATCGTCTTCATTTGTATACTCCTTTGCGCTCTTTGAGATCATCTTCTGCAGACTTATTGTCTGTTCCAAACTTCAAGAGGAGTTCCTTTGGTGGTAGGGCTTTTAGTTGTGCAGCACCGAAGTTATGGAACTCTTGACCTTTGCACATTCGCCAGCTGGATTCAGTTTCCCATTTTAAAGCTCAGATCAAAATGTATTTGTTTAGAATAGCTTTTAATAATCTGCTTGTTTAGTGTGTTGTTATAGTGTTTGCTTCTTGTATGTTTTTTATTGATTTGTTTTACTTTGTACAGTGTCCTGAAAGGCGCCTATAAATAAAAGGTATTATTATTATTAGAGGGTTAAACATAATTAAGATTATGATTCTAATGATTTATTGGGCAAATAAAACAGTCATATAATGCATAATGGTCTCTATTATTACCGTTTCAACATGTTTCCTAACTGCTGCAGTGTACCTGAGTGAAACCAGTGTTATAGTAAAAACCACAACATCACTAGAAAACATTTCTGACATCATTCCCATTAGCAGAATGATGCTTATTCAATTAGTGTGGATCAAATAATAAATGTCAGTTTATTAAAGGCTCAGTGCATTTAGTCCCTGTAACAGCAGATCTTGCTAAAGTCTAGTGTTTTTTTTTCTTTTCCTAGATCTCTGTTACCTGGAGGAAATGTATGTGATCGTCTGTGTGTGAAAGCTGCTCCAGCTCAGAGTTTCTCTTCTTCAGATCTTCAATCTCCTGCTCCAGTCGCTCCATTTGTCCTTCAGCTCGACTCACTGCAGTCTTTTCCTGATCTCTGATCCGCTGTGTCACCTCAGAGCGGCTTCTCTCAATGGAGCGGATGAGCTCAGTAAAGATCCTCTCACTGTCCTCCACTGCTGTCTGTGCAGAGCGCTGTTAGACACACATCACAATCAGCTCTTACTGCTTCCTCACAGCGGCTTCAGTGGGACTGAAAGAGGAGAGTCAAACTGAGTCTCAAACTTCTCTTCTTCTCCAAACTCACCTTATGAGACTCCACAGCCTCTCTCAGCTGCTCAAGATCTTTCTGTCTCTGCTGGATTCTCTGCTGGATTTCACTCTGTGTCTCCTTCAAGTGTTTCTGGAGGAGAAATTAAAAACAAAAAAAACAGCAAACCCAAGACTTATTACATAAAACTATCACAAATTCATCATGTAAAAAGGCACCTGTTTGATTAAAAAAGTTCTTCTTTGCAGCGTTTCTCAAGAGTTATAAGAGAATTACATGAATTTAGGTTAGACATGAAGTCCTTTCACATGAAGGGGACATATATGATTATTACTGTCATATTCTGCAATAATAAATGAATGTGAAGCCGACATGGACATTTAAACTGACTGCAATTTGCAGCAAAAACAGCAACTCTGATGCATGTTCGATTAGAGCAGAGAACTTGAGCAATGTTACAAAAATGAGCAAAGTTCCTCTCATGCTCTAATGCAGGGGTTTTCAACCTTTTAGGACATGCGCCCCACCAAGTTTATCTAATTTCACTCGTGCCCCCCCAACATCCAACAACCCCCCCTCCATAGCTGTTAAAGCAGCGAAGAATTTTTCTTTTGCTCTTTTTGATTAACATTATTTACATAAGAAATGCACGGATCCGTTATACTGATGTACATTTGATATTTTCTTTACTGTTTACATTCACGGAAGAGCGAGCAACCGCCGGAGGGCTAGAGTGAGCAGAGGCCGGGGGATAAAGTGAGGAACGGCCGGCGGTCTGAGTGAGCAGAGGCGGCGGATTCGACGAAGGCGCATCCGGAGGGCTTGCGGCAACCACATGTGGCTTTCACAACGAATCACACAGCGCATTCACAACATGGCGGCAGCAACAAATACTACAACGAGAATAAAAGTTTAGATGCAATGTAATAGCCTGTTCTTTCTTTGCGTGAACATTTGGGCGGAGCTATTAAAGCAGCGAACAATTTTTTTTGCTCTTTTTGATTAACATTATTTACATAAGAAATGCACGGATCCGTTATACTGATGTACATTTGATATTTTCTTCGCTATTTACATTCACTTAAAACAACCGACTGTGCTTACAAGGATACTTGTCAAGACAGCCATTGGTATTCACCTGCTGTCTGAGAAGGCCATCTGTTTGTGCACTTCAGGTGTGTGAGCAGTGCGCATAGAAACACTCTATCACAGTGTGTGAGTACCGCATTGAGATGTCTTGGGCTTAAATGGCTTAAAATTACTTTAATGTTTAAACTGACAAGACTTAAAACACGTGAGAAGGAAAAACTTTCTCGAGGAAGCAGCACTGGCCTGATCGTTAAGATAGTTTTGGGGGGCTAAGGTGACAGATAGGGGGGGCTGAAACCCACCTAAAAGGTTTTAGAACCGCCCCTGGTATAGCGTGCGTAATTATACTGAAACATAAATATATAACCTGTTTACCTGATTCAATGTGATGGCTGAGCCTATTTCTGAGATAACATGCCAATCCGTGGTTGGATTTCCGACACGGCTAATCGTAAATCATCTTACACTGTCAATAAGCGTGACCAGGGTTGCCAGGTTTTCACA